TTTATCTTCCTTTATGTAATCTAATGGCATCTATCCAATTTTATTCATTTTTCATCAAGGTGATATATTTCCTCTTACATAGTATGTTTGTGTTCTTAGCATGCCTCATGGCTGAAATGATTTTTCAGTCATTTAATATTTATTCTACATTGTTGTCAAATAATAAATATTTATTACAAACCTCTTGACAGGGAAATGTAATGCTAGAGAGAAAAGAAAGGAAACTAAGATTTGACCATTTTATAGAGGTTAGACTTGGCAAAACTCGAAATTGCTTTCATTTTTACTTCCCTCATCTATCTCTATCATTTGAACTTTATAGGGACAGCAGCATAAGAATAACTACAGATGGATTTTATATTCCATTCCAGAAGCTTATGGGTAGCTCATGGAGAGCATTTTAGAAGTATCATAGGCTGAATTAGAAAGACTCAGTACTGTTTCATAATTTTCCTATGTCTGTTTTCTATTAGTTTCACTATTTTAAAAATAATGTTTGTAATCAAAGTGCCTATTACTTACCACTACTGTTTACTCATCTCAAAATGTGTACTGCTTTTGGTGCAACTTTAACTGCACTGAAATGCTAATAGGAAAAAAAAAAATGACAGGGCCTGGATTAATTTTTGATTCAATGATTAAATAGTGCTTATCACTAAAGGTGTGTCTTTCACTTATCTGGCTCAGAAACAGTGCAATAAATTCCTTTACATAAATCAGGAACATTAGTGGAGTTCTATTTTCCTTTCTTGTCCTGAAATGAAAAAGGAACTGAGGAAACTTTTTATGTTGGACTGAAAATTTGGGTTCATGATCTTGAGTTTTATAAAGAGAGATTCTGGAAAGAGGTCTGTGTTTCAGCTTGTTATTAAATAATTCTGAATTCAGATCCAGGTTCAGATAATACATCTCTCTGTACTGTCCCCAGTCTTCAGACAGGCGTGATTTAGATTTGCAACAAGACATGTACTTGAATATATGTGAGTTTTAGAAATTCCTATTCTGCCTATGCTGTCTGCTTCTAAGTTATTCTGGAAGATCCCATGTGTTCTCCACATCTTCAGGTGGCTGTTAGGAATCTTATGGAGAGGAGCAGATGCTCACCAGAAGATAGAGATGGGAAGACTTTAAATTACAGATTCTGTATTTGAAAACCAGCAACCTTTTCTTGATTTATTCACCACAAAGATCCTTAGTTGCATGTCGGCCATCAAAGGACATTGTTGGTATGCATTGTTCCAACTCTGTCAGCTCTATCAGCATAAAATATGGGTTGGCAGGGCTTCGATGGTGCCTTAAAGCCCATAGGACTTGAAGAGACTTAATAGGTCATGAAGTGCTCCCTAGGCACTGCTTCATGTCCCTTTCATAAATATTTAAATCTGAATCCTAAAAACAAAGATTAACTTTTTGACTTTGCCTCTTTGAGTTGAAGGCTCTTCCAGAGTCTGACTTTATCGATAGTTACAAACTTTAAAATACCCAGCCAAAATGTCTTCATGGCTGCAAATCTGTTCTTCTACCAGTGTTGTCAGTTTGATAAGTTCTTCTTTTTCTTCCTGCTTCATCCTCTAATTTCCTCTCTCCCCATTCTTACACACACAGACCCTGTCAGCCTTCGTTTTTGGCAGATTCACTGAGCTAAGTTTTTCTAGTGCCATCTCAGATGAGCACTTTTGGTTTTGCTTGAAAAACAAATCTAAATACATATTTACTTTTTTTTTTTAAATGTTATGTTAAATACTATAGTTTGATGTTATAAAAATGAAATCTACATAGTCTGTCTGGTTGTGAAATATGCAGTTGTACTTTAAAGGTCCTTTTTCTCAGTGGGCAGACATTCAAAATGAAGCAATACCTTTGAATATTCCAAGCTGTTTCCATTTCACTGAAAAAGAAACCAATTCGGAATCTCAGATGTAGCTGGGCAGCATCCGCCTTTCAGAGGGGCCTTGTGATGTGCTGCTGAAAGGATGTGATTTATTATATTTTTTCATTGCTATACATAGCTATGCACATATTGTAACTGAATAAAAATGCAGTAACAGAATGTACATAGAGTTATTTGAATGTCTATCCATGTGCACGTATAACTGTGTCTAGTGCACATGCATATATAGGTTAGTATTTATGTGCATAGCAGTGCATGGAATCCCAAAAATTTGACCTTAGATGTCAGAACTGTAACTGTTTCACTTCAGGCCCTTCCAGTACAACAGCCAGCTGTTGTGGGAGACTCTACCTGAGTGTTTGTACAGTTTTTCCACCCCATTGTCTCCCTTATGTTTTCAGAGCTGAGGGAGAGTATGAAGCACCTGGAGGCAACTCCTCTTCACTCTGCTTTCCTCCTGGCAGTCTTTCTCCTGCTGTCTCTGTGGTAAACAGTGACAGGACCTGAGGAAATGGCCTGAAGTTGTGTCAGGGAAGATTTAGGTTAGCTATTGGAATAAGGTTCTTCATGCAGAGGATGACTGGGCACTGGAACAGGCTCCCCAGGGCAATGGTCACAGGATCAAGCCTGTTCAAGTTCAAGAAGTGTTTAGGACAATACCCTCAGGCACATGGTGTGACTCTTGGGGATGGTCCTGTGCAGAGCTAGGAGTTGGATTTGATGATCCTTGTGCATCCCTTCCAGGTCAGCTTATTCTGTGATAATGACAGGTAAGGGAATTCAGGTTTTGTTAGAGTACATTGGGCATATGGGGTGTGACTTGCCCCTCTTTTTTTCCAGAAGATAATCCCAGAGAGAATGGTAATTAACATGGAAGAGGGGAAAATGCGACTACAGCAATTTTCTTACTTGGAGAATTTGCAAAGTATTCACAGTATCATATCCTGAGGTGGTTTTGCCAGCTTCATGAAACAGAAAGGAAAACATTGACATTTCGAGTGGTCTGATGTTCTCCAACTGTATTTGTGATCTTTATGTGCCTGCCTTTATTTTTTGCTTTCAAAGAAGAAGGGAGATTATGTTTGGTTTAAATGCTGAAGCCCATAAAAATGTTTGCTAGCTGTAGGTTTTGTTTGGAGAACCAGATAGAGGGACATTTTAAATTCAGACAGATAAGAATCAGATGAGAAAGAGTTGCAAGACTAAGCGTCTAAGCATGGTCCTGTCTGCAGATTACATACAAATACAAATGAAACTACCTGCTCTACAGACACCCTTAGCATTTAAAGTGTGACAGGAAAATGACATGAGCCTTTATGCTGCAGCAGATTTTGCTGTCAAATCTTTTGGGTACTCAAAGACACTGCAGAGCTCAAACTTCTGCTGTTTGATATTGCTATTCTTACACTTAGGAATAAATGTCCCAGTTCTATATATCCATATGTTATTCAACTCTGTCTGACTTTGCAGGGCAATGTGAGCAGTTTTGGTGAACATGAACTTCCTTGTTTCCCTTGTAGTCTCTCTTGGAGTTTGTAAAATCTGCTCACTGCTTCCCCACTGACTGATAGGCACCACCAACCAGAATTCATATGCAGTGACTCTTACAAGTGCTCAAACGTTTGGCAGAATTAGGGCATGCCCTTGGGATTTTTTTTCTGTATTTGGATGTATCTGACAGAAGGCTGCCTATCATGGGCTGTGAGGGTGCAGTATCTGACAGGACTTTGGGAATTTGGACACTGAGGTGTGTGAGGTTCCACACCATGCCCAACAGACCTCACAGAAGGCTTGGATGGAATCAGTGCACTGAAAGGAAGGTGGCTCTGTGTCCTCAGCCCTCACAGCTCAAGCTCTGTTAGACTGGTGTGCTGGGAGCACAGCCCTGCTGAAGCTTAGCAGGAGCTGAAGGGAAACCATCCACCCAAACCATGTCCCCAGAGAATGGGAAGGCAGGAAATCTCTCCCAGAGTACAGGGCCACCACTGGGAGGGCTGGTTTCCAGATCCCAGCCTTTGCTAGCTGTGGAAGAGGTGAGCAAGAGCCATGTTTCAGGTTTGTTCAGCAGCTCCGTGCTGGAGGCAGAGCAGCAGCATGCTCTCCACTTCAGCCACTGCTGTCAGTGATGTCTGCAGGGCCACGTGGGCACCATCAAATCAATGTTTGTGCTGATCACATTTTGGGCAGAGCATATTAAATTTGTCGGTAAAATGTCACTTTCACACAGGTGACAGAATGAAAGTTATTTTAGGCAAGCTGTGGAGGAACAGTCCTTAGCAATGAGCAAAAATCAAACAGGCAAGCAATAAAACTTGGCACATTTGTGTGAGTTTGCCACCTGCAGGTCCCACATTCCCTACTCTGCTAACAAGCCCGTTTCTGTCTCTGCATTTCTGCTGCAGCTCATCTTCCACAGAGGATGGTTCTACCATAGTGGAGCCAGGGAGCTTGGTTTATTTCTGGTGTCACCCTAATGCCAAGCTAAATTCAACTGCACTGTACACTCACCCCGACAGAATTCCAGTTCCTATTTTGATATTTCAAGGACAAGATCCTTGAATAAAGCTTGACATGGTCATTACCCATTTTGCAGAAGAGAACATCCAGATACTTGCAATGGTGTGTTAGCATCCCCAGTGTGATGACCCCTGAGTGGATATGCTGCTTTCCAGTGAGGGCTGGATAAAGAGTGTGGGTGGAGTTCTTGGAGAAGCCAAGGGGGCATATCTGTGGAATGGCTAATGGTGATGAAAAATTGCCTGTATTCTATCAAGTTCTGTTCAAAACCATCTCTGAGTGCAAAAGCCTGAACCAGCAGGAATGGTTAAGCTTAACAGGATGCCAGTAAGACAAGCAAAAATTACTGCTGTCATGACAGTGTATTTTTAGGACTTGTAAATCCTTTTAAAATTGTAGCATGATCTATGTATGTGTATGAGAATATCTCAACTACTTAGAAGTGACAGGGCTAGATCAATAACTACATAATATTTCTGAAGTATGCTTTACTACTTCTGGAAGTTAAATCTGGTGAGATGTTTTTTGCAGGTTTGAGCTTTGATCAGTATGTTATAAAGATTCATACTTACATTGTACATTTGCTTTGCAGCTCCTGGTTGCTAAATCCCCTGTTGCTCCATTCTCCACTTTTTTCTACACCATTGAGAAATCAGGCTTGGTTCTTCAGGGTAAGACCAGAGCATTGGTTGTTTTGCCTTTTCAATTAGTATTTTAAGCAGACTGAATGTAGATAACTCTTGTTGGAAATGGTGCTGTTTATACAGAATTAAAACCTGATACATTTAAATATTCTGGTTAACAAGGGGAGCATTCTGCTGAATTTACTGTTTTTTCTTGGATTACACTAAATTGGTCTTTGCATATTGCCATGCCTAGAAATGGGCCTTGAAATTATTAACCAGGGCTCCCTGTTTCCCTCCAAGGTGAAGTGGAATGGTTCAGATAACATGGGGTTCTATAGGATAGGTTTCTTCAGGACAAACATATCCATATTTCATTAAAAACCTGCTGTAATAAATGGTTCTTCTTTGGCAAATAGCTTGGCATCAGTAAAATACAGGAAATTAATATCTGTTTTCTATTTTTGTGATCATTTTAATGCTAATGCCCTATGGTCTTAAATTATGCTCAGATTCTCTAGGATCCTTCATCCTAGGATTCTAGGATGAAGTGGTACACTGAAAAGTTGGATACTTTTACCATGCTGACAGGGAACTAGGATTCCTTGTGGCTGTGTCCTGAATCATGTACTTTTAGGCACACCAAAGAGGAAAGTTCAACTCTTCCCTTCTTTTCCCATGTATCCAAACAAACATCCTTGCTTCTTGACAAACATTCATACATCAGTTTTGTTGAGTTTTTTGCTATGCAGCTTAGCTCCTTATCACTGCATCAGTTTACCAGACTGAATAAAACTGGTCAGTGCCTGTCACTTTCTGTTCAGGGAAGACACTGTGATACACAGCCAGGGCAATAAGACAAGTGAGTGTAGCTGGTTCTCAGTTTCCAGAGATGGAGAATCAGTGATCCCATGAGGCACTATGGACATTTTAAGGGATGTGAACAGTTCTTCTCCTTCTGACTGCACATTTCTCACATTCAAACAGCCTGTACCAGACTAATGACAGATTTATATTTCCTAGTGACTAAGTATGCTTATGTCTCAGGCAAAATATCAGAAAACAAAATAAATGAAAATGTTTTATGGTGCATTTTTGCTTTCATTTGATACATCCACATAATCATAATGGGGAAAGGGGAGGTGTCAATACAATCCTAAGCCTTTGGATACTATTTTCAGTATATTCTTAGATAGCATTTTGGGCACTTGATCTGCTTTATTTAGTACCAGTAATTCTAAAAGTCTGCAGGAGCTATGAAACAATCTTTATTAGTTTTAACTGAGGTTACTTGCAGGAGTTGGTCTTGACGTGTTTTATTTCAGTATAGGGCAGATGATAAGCTACTTTTCTATCTTGGATATCTTGAGCTACATAGATATTTCTGGCCATTATTAAAAAAGGCAGACAATTTCCTGCTCTGTCCTCAGGCACTAATGTAGTGAAACTTTCTCATTTCAGAAACAGGGAGCATTTTTTCAGAGACAATCTTAATTTTTTCAGCTCTTTTCTGTGAGCCATGAATATAGCTTTCCCAGGACTGAGTCATGCCTTTCAAGAACAAATGGGCCTGGTTACACATAATGATGATGGAGCAGCACTCTGATAGGAGGATATCACTGTATTAAAAGTGTGGCAATTGCTCTTTTCCCTATACCCATATGTTGCTGGGATGTACATTTAAAACATTGTTTGCCATTTTGCTCAAACAGATAAAATATCAGTTTGGATTTCTTTTAAATAATTGATGTCTTGATATCAGACATTCTTTGTGCATCTTGAAAGGCAGCTAGAATGTCCTCTCTGTGTGAACCTTTTATTACTTTCTGACTACATGATTATGTTTCTATTTTAGATCTTTTTCTCCAGGATGAGTAGCAAGGAAGGGCATGGTTCCCCTGATAACGGGCCCCAGACTCTTTTACAGAGACTTGTAAGCACTTATAGATGAACCGTCTCACTGATTTGTAAAAGTAAATATTGTATGGTCTCATCCCACATTTTAGTGATCATTATTTCTGTGGAAAAAGGAAGTGAGCAAATCATCAGGAAATGTCTGGTTTGGATAAGATGCAGAAAGTGGCACCAGGCTGCCTTGTTCAAGAGAGGCTAGAGTTTTTCTGAGAGTTGTTCTTGGTGCTTCTTTTGGAAGGGAAGCTGGATGCAAGGTAAGATGACAGTAAGGCAGCTAGGCAGTGACTGCTCAAGGAACATCACATAGTGCTACCAAGTGGAATCTGTCCTGCAGCCTGATTGCAGAGGCAACTCTCCCATTCAGGCTTTGTTGTTTAATTCCCTTGGTGTCAGGAGGTGAGCACATTCAGGGTGGCTGATGGGAACAAGTGGATGGATGTGGGAACTGGTGAGAAGCAGCAGCTGGCTGAAGTGCCCAGGATTCTTTCTTTTTACTCAGGGGGTCCCATCCCGGGACCATTAACCAATAGGCCATAAACAAATTGATATCGGAAAATGTGGCTGGAAGGTCCCTGATTAGTGAGGGTGAATGGGGAATGAAAGACAAAGTGAAAGTGTGATTTAACAGTTCCACAAGCAATTTCCATTGCCACCTCTGAGGGATTAGGATGTGTGGAATAGGCTAAAAAAAAAAAAAAAAAGGAGGAGCTCCCCCCCGCTTTGTTCTGTGGGCTGGAGGATAATAAAACGGCAGGAGAGGCAGTGTGGCTAGTTAGGGATTTCACAGACTGCTATTTGATGCAGTTTAAGGAGCCCTTCTGCTATTGTTGCAGTTAAAATGGGAAGCGGAACTGTTCTCCATTTGCAAAAATCTCCAGCGTCCTCAGGAAGAGGGCTGAGAGCAAAAGGCTATTAAGATGGTAATGCTGCCCCATTTGGAGGAGTGTATCAAAATCCTCTTTGTCAATGTAAATTGCTGCTCTGTTTCCCTGGTATCTTTGCATCTCATGGCCTCAGTGCAAGCACAGAAATTTTTGGAGGAGACCCTAGTGAAGACAGAACTGCTTCTCTTTTATTGTCAGAGGAGATCTTCAGGCTGCCCAAGGGTCCCTTGGAGAAAACTTCTTTGCTTTTATAAACTTGAAGTGTTCAGGGGTGAAGAGAATCCATTTATGCACTCACTCTTTTATTTCCACTTTCAGACTAGAGAAATGAAATGTGGTGATTGAAAAGCAAGATTGGACAATCAGAAATTTAGGAAGAAAAGTCTTCAGCCTCCTCTTTTCATTGCTTCAGATTGCTTTGTGCTATAGAGGGAGTGGACTGCAACCCCAAAAATACCCTCAGTTGCCTTTACATTGCAATGCAATGTCATGTTATGTTCTGCCATGCTGTACAGTGTAATTCTTTGATGAACATGAATTGTGAGTGCAGAATCCAGTCTGACAGTCTCTATTTTGTAGAGATCGTAGACAAAAAGGCAGAAACCTGGATCTAAGCACTGCAAAATATTGGAAGGTTTACTGTCAGCTTGTGTTTGCTGTTCTGAGAACTTGCTGTTGCTTCCCTGTTTCAATATACCAGTTGCAGTGAGTGAAGTCACACCGTTAAAGAGAGGAGTAAAATTAAAAGAGCTCCAGATCTACTTGATTAAGATTGCAAGTTGTAAGATGATTTTTCTCCTTGGCTATGATATAATTTCTGTTTTGACTGGAAATTGCTAGCTGATAATTCTCTTCTGGCATAACATTCAGAAGAAATGTTGAGCTGCTCTTGCCTAATTAGTTTCATGGAAGTTGAATGTAGCATGTACTGGGTTGGGCCAGCTGAACTAGAAGATGCTATTTAGTGCACACCAATGCAAAAAAGGCTGAATGAAGCTGATTTGAAGCCGTATTCTGTAGGCCATCATCCAAGTCTAGCTTTAAAATCAGCAGTGTTCTGGGATATAAATACAAACTAGCAACAAGCCTAGCTGCTACCTACCAACAGCTCAGCTGTTTGTGGAAGTCTCATTCCATCTGACTTTAGCAAATGCCTTCTGTTACCAAGAGGATGGTGCTGCAAAAGGAGACAGGGACACGGTGGCTGTTTGCCAGCTGAGGAGTCTATTGGGACTGAATGCTTTAACTAAGTGATTAACATTGCTCTTCATGGAAAAAACTCAGAAGTACTGAAAACATAAGACAAATGATATTAGTGAGCTAGGACGTGCTTTTAATTAATGATGTATTTTCAGTTTCATAGGGTTTAAAGATGGATAGAATTATCAGTTTACCCAAACCAACCTCCCATATACCATACATGGTTCCTTCAGGTACCTGATAACTTTGTTGCACTAAATAATTTCTTCTAGAAAAGTAATCACTATTATTTGCAGACATAAAGAAATGTCTGTGTTCCTAGTTTGCCTTGGCAGTGTTTTCAAGTTTTAGCTACCTTGCTGAAAAACCCTCGTTCTGTATTTCAGATTAGAATTCGTCTGCCTTCAGATTTTGACCTCTGTTCTTGTCATGACCTTCAGTGTTTAAAAAAGCACTGTTGCTGTAAAATGGTTGCCATTTTTCATGAGTGTATTTGGCATTATGATTTATCTTGCTATTTTTTACTCTTCCTTTTTGAAAGAAAGATATCACTGGCTGTAAATTTAACCTCAAAATTTTGTGTCTCCTGTTGACCGGCTCCCCTCACTACTCAAAGAAAGACTAGAATACCTTGTATTGCTAAAGGGAAGAGTTTGGGGGTTGTGTCACAGGGCTGGATAATTAGTTGATTAATCCACCCTTTCTGCTGCCCTCTTTTGCACTGCACACAGCCTGTCTGAACACAAACGTGCTCACCTTGCATGAAATGTCCTATTGAGGCAGGTAACTTATTATATAAGTTATATATGTAGAAACAAAAGAATGTGGCACTTGGATGAGTGTCTTCAGTTTCACAGTAGGGGAAAAGATCTAGTAACAGCTAAATCTGGGGAAGCCTTGGTACATTTCGTTTCATTTGTCACTAAGGTAATGAAAGAGGCTCATTTTGATCTCAAAATAGCATAGGGTCGGGGTTTGTAGCTGCATGGCAAACTGTCTCCAAAGTGCTATAACTAATTTCTATGGCTGAAGCAAGTGAAAAGTGCCTCA